CTTTTTATACTTCACTTGTCTCAAAATTAAACGTCAAATACATATAGTGTAAAGTATAATTTATGAAAAGTGAGAGTGCAAAGCATTCCCATACTCAAACTACAGGGTGTTTAAAGTAATTTACCCATAAAAAACAGAAAAATGGAGTTAAGTGAATTGAAAAGTAAATTGAGAATGAAAAATAATTTCCCTCTTTTATATTCGAAAGAGAGGAAAATAAGAGGGCTAAATATGTGAGTAAATCATAAATGGATTTTGCCTATATATGGTCCCTTTGTTCTTTAGATTGTTTTGGTTGAGATTTTTTATTTTTTATTTTATTTTATTTTATTCGTTTGTTATAACGTTGTAGTTATGAGGCTTTAATAAAAACAATTCAAAAAGTGTAGGGATCAATTTTTTTTTTTTTTTAAGTTTTCATGTTATTGTGTTTTTAAGGCTTATTTTGAATACTACAAAATGTGTCATATGTGAGACCCCATATATATACACACAAAGCAAACCTAACATGTAATTGAAAAAACAGAAAGAGTACAAATATATTGATTAGAATTAAAATAAAAACAACGATAATGTTGATTGGTAGTTAATTATCTATATTAAAGAAGAAAATGTGGTGCTTTCAAGTTTTTTTTTTAAGAGTGCAACTCCATTTTTTATTTTGAATTGGTCAAATATTTAGAAGTTTTTACTTTTTATGGAAGATTAGACCCATTAACTAGAGGTCTATGACTCATTGATATTACACATCACCATTTTTTTTTTTTTTGTGTTAATAATGCATGTGAAGTTCTTTTTTTACTTTTTTTTACGTATTATTTAATTATTTTTAACTTATTATAACATTATTTAAAAAAAATCAAAGTTTTACTGTGATGGACTCTCACATATGATATATTTCATGCATTTATCATGAGATTTTTTAAAAAACATGAAAATAAAAAATAAAAAATAAAAAATTGGTCTATACTCTCTTTGAATTTTTTTGATTGAAGTCCCATAATTTTTTAACTATTTTGATTGAGATCCTCTATCGAAATTCCATTATGGCACATGCCACGCTTTTAGGAGTAAATGCATCATGTCAATGCCACATCAACTCACAACTAATGACATTATAACGGATGGATGAAAACAAAATTAAATAAAAGTTAGAGGGAATCAATCAATACAAAATATAAGAGTTTCAATCAAAAGGAATAGAAATGATTTGGTGCATGATAAAAATGACAATTTCTTAACTCTTATTGTTTCATTTCTTGCACTCAATTCGAATCATTGAATTCAAAATTAATAGTTAGATTTGAAATATGAGATGATCCAAATCCCTACTTAAGGTCCATATCTATCAATAAATGCAATGGTAGATTATTAAGTAGTTCTTATATTTTTACTATAATTATAACTTAAATCTTTCTATTTAAACATTCCATATTCGTCCTATTGTTTTTTCTTTTTTACTCCTTGCGAGATTTTTTCTTTTATTTTTATTTATGTTGGTCCTTTTTACATGGATTTATGTCGGGGTGAGCTTTATTCGATTAAAATTGAAAAACTAAAATGAATCGAACCGAATTAACAATTTTGATTCGGTTTTGTACAAAAAAATTGAAAAAAAAAACCAAAACCAAAAATCGAAATTATTTTGGTTTGGTTCGATTTTTTTGAAAAAAAAACAATTTTCACCAAAAACTGAATTGGTGTTTTTTTTTTTAATACACATATCCAAGGCTCTTAACACAACTAATATGCTAGGATTTGAATTTTGAACTTGTAACCTCTTGCAAGAAACCACTATTACTAGATTATAAGCTCTTTGGCACCGAATTCGTTAGGAATGAGCACTATTCAAGTCGTTACATCTTAATTTTTGGTAGATAAAAGACCACCCAATCTCTCGGTTGTAGCATTTTCCTATGATTTTCTTTGCTAAAGCTTCAATTCAAGCTATTAGCATTTCTTGCAATAAAAAATTACAAAAAAGTGGCATTTCAGTTTGATTCACGATGAAATTGAAAATTTTAAAAAAAAGATGCAAAAAAAAAAAAAAAACTGATTTTTAATCAAAAAATCGAATTGAAAATTTTAGTTTTTAATCAAAAAACCAAACCGTAATTTGATTTGATTTTAATTTTTATTTTAGTCAATTTAGTTAATCAAAAACTAAAAAAAAAAAAATCAAATCGAATAATCAAATGTTCGTACTTAGATTTATGGTGCTATAAAGAAATTTTTTTAGGGATGTCAGTGATCGATGTCAAATCCTATGGCTGAAAGGAATAGAAATATACAGTTATATGTTGACTCTGAACTTATCCCATTGTCAAGTCTCTTTATTGCGTGTTAAGGTTTATTGCCACAGATACATGGGGATAATCCCAAATCGATGCAATCCTTTTGTGTTCAATTGTGATAAAAAAGAATGTGCGTTGTTTACGTTGTTTAAAAAATCTTAAAGGTCTTTAATTATCTTTTTTTTTTTATTTTTTTGAACAAATATTTTAATGTTTCTGTTTGCAATACACACTAAAATTAGATGCAAATAGCAAATGCATGTCATTTGAGAGACAAGACAACCAGTCTATTGTAAACTTAAATTTTTAACCCTCCAAGAACACCAACCAATCTATAAATTTTTAACTCTCTAACATCAATTTTAGAAAAGCTCTTAAATTTAATCCAATACATCCAAATCCTAATCTAACTTGTAATTCTCAAATAATCTCTCTCTCTCAAAACCCTCACATTTTTGGCACTCAAGATATTATTTTTGGAACTTTTTATTTCTTTTCATAAAAAGTCTTTTGTAATCAACCCATTTCTTTAAAAATATTAAGAAAGAAGGTATTTTCATTCTTTTCATTTACTATCTATCTATCACAGTTTTTCCTGTTATCATTGCATTTATTTGATATGGAGTTATAAAAGAAACATCATGTACTTAAGGTTCATATCATTAAATAATCATCATCTTCGTTAAGTGTAAACCATTAAATTCGAATTGAATAAACATGATAAAAACAGTAACATCTTAACTCTTATTGTTTTATTTTTTTCCCCCTTAATCTAAATAATTGAATTCAAAATCAATGGCTAGATTTAGAACATGATTGGTTAGGTTCCTAAGAGAACATAAGATGATCCAAATCCATAGTTAAGGTCTATATCAATAATAAGTGCAATGGTAAATTGTTAATTAGATCTTACATTTGCAATGTAGTTATAACTTAATTCTTTTTATTTAAAATTTTTGTATTAATCTGGTTGTTTTTTCTTCTTCTTTTGTTTGTGTTCTGACGTGGTGTTTTTTTTTTTTTTTTATAAGAATGTGGTGATTTTTGTCTAAATCATGTTGTTGAAAAAAAGAAAAACAATGTATAGTTATATATTGAATCCGAACTTTCCAATTGTGAAGTCTACTCGTTGTGTATTAAGATGGGGGATGATTTCAGATCAATGCGTGTTCATTCGTGGTAAAACGAATTCAATGTTTACATTGTTCAAAAATCTTGAACGCTTTCACATATATATATATATATTGAACAACAAATATTCTAGTATTTCAAATTTCAATGCATACTAAAATTAGATGAAAATAGCAGAGCATACCATCTGGGAGGAAGCCAACCAATCTACTGGACCCCAAAATTTGAAGTCCTTCAAGCCAATCAATCCTCTAATCTATTAGCTTGGCTATTTACTTTTATTTTGATATGCACCATGATGTCATTTTGTTAAACTGTCAATTCTAATTATCAGATTCGAATCTTGCTTTTATTATTATTTTTTTATTCAAGTTTCATTATAATTCTTGACAACTAACTTAATTCTGTGCTCCAATATCAAATTTAAAACAACTACTAATTTTTTTTGTTCAACACAGACAAATTCGAATCTAACTTATGATTCTCAAATGGTTTCTAAATATATGAAATTGTTACGACAAGTACTGAATTCATATTTTGTTCAAGATAAACACTTTTTGACGCATAACATATTGCTTTTTGAGTTTTTTTTATTCCTTTTCATATAAATTCATTTAAAATTAACCTATCTCTTTAAAAATATTTTTAAAAAAAGAAGATATTTTTCTCATTCTTTTGATTTTATATCTATCTATTATAATTTTTCATTTTTCATTGCATTTATTTAATATGAGAGTTATAAAAGAAACCTCAACATATTATCTCCTCAAGGTCCAAATCAAGAAATGCAATGGGTTTTTTTCTTTCATATTTAGGTTTTGTATTTTTAAAATTTTTTTAATTGAGATATTTTTTATTTTGATTGAAATTTTGTATTTCTCAAAATTTTTTGCTTTACATTTTTTGTTACGAGGTTGTCTATTTTCATCTAACCTTTCAAATTACCATTAGAAGCAACCTATTTAATGATTGATACGTGACGTTGTGGATCTAAAAATAATAATTTCTCCATACAAATATAAAAAAAATTAATAATAAAATAATACATAAAATTTAAAAATAAAAGGAAAAGACAAAGTAGCACTCACCCCGTTAAAGCAGCAGGAGATGAAATCCCGCATCAACAATCTGGAGAATTCATTGTTGAAACTGAGTCAGAGCCTAACTTATGGTTCTTGCCTTTCCATGGTGCTTGTTATCGCAAAATACTTGTATCTCTAAGAAAGATGGAGTACCTTTTGTTGTTTGTAATCTTTGAAATCGAAACTCTATCACAAGTATCAGATGGATTTGAAGTGGATTGGAAGGAGCTACAAGAAGTACTCATGAACAATTATCTAAATCATTTTTGGAAGAAAGTTGGCTTTTCATTGAAATGTCTTGACGAGTTGATTTCGATCAATTCCGTGTCACTATCTATTGGAAAAGAAGATGCAAAAGACAAACATATCTCATGACATTTGAGTTAGGAAAATCATCACCAAGTGCAGATGCAATATTTAGGGCATTCTCCAATATTCAAAAGAAGAAGCTAACAAGATTGACAAACACAAAGGTGCATCAGAAGCTCAAGAGCTAGTTGATGCTTTGCATATCTATATAGCCTAGGGTTCTGCATTAGTAGTCTGATAAAAGAAACAAAAGAGATTGAGAAAGAAGTGAACGAATTAATTTAATGGGAGAATCCTACAAGCTACCACTTCAATTTTTCTTAAAGACAGAAGCCCATGGTGGCTTATGATTAATGTCGACTCACAGATAGAAAACGAGATTTTGATATTTTTCGAATGTACTGGGAAATAATTGGAGTAGGGGTGATTTGGTCTTTTCCTTTTACTTTTAAATTTTATGTATTATTTTATTATAATAAAATCATTTTCATTTTTTTTATTCGGACGGAAAAACTATTTTTTGAGATTTATAATATCATGTGTCAATTACTGATAGGTACCTTCTAATAATAATGTGCTATGTCAAATAAAAAATAGACGAAATCATAATGAAAGGTATGAAATAAAGAATAAATAGACTTAATTAATTAAAAAAATATACAGATGATTTCAATTAAAAAAAAATTCAAAGAGTACATAATTCAAATATAAAAAATCCCCAAATGCAATAAAAAATTATTAATTAATTTTTTTTCAATGTAATTATAACTTAATTCTTTCTATTTAAAATGTTCACATCTTAATCCTTTTGATTTTTTATGGTCAATTAATTTTTTTTTGTATGTAATTTTTTTATTTTTTTAAATAACTTTTAGGTAGTATCATTATCCATTAAAACAATCAACTTTTATAATGAATAAAATACAAATATCTATTGATTGAATTTGATCAATTAAAATTATCAAATAATTAATTTTATCTGAATTTTTTTGTCACGCCAATAAATTTATTATTATAATTGCCAATCATTAAATTTTAAATATAGTTGTATTTATTTAATATTTTTTTATCTTTACATGTTTTATTGACTTTTGTATGCTCACAACGTACTCAAATATATAATATGGATTTAAAATTATTATATTAGAAAACTATTTTTTAAAACTATTCTAATTTTTTAAAAAATTGGTTCAAAAAGTGAAAGCTCTCTTCGAGAAAAAGCCCAAAAAACTTTGATAACTTTAATGAATTTTTATTTATTTATAGATAATCGGGTGAAAAAAAATATATTTCTTAAAAAAAATTGAGGGAAAGCATTAATTAAAAAGAAAAATCAAGTTATCTAAAGAATCTATCTTTATCTAAGCAAAATCGCTATAATTTATGTGAAATTTTGGATAATATTAAGGAAAAGTCCTGGTAATAAGTATATGGGCAGATTTGGTTAAATCATATGTAGGCAGGCCAAGTTTAACCCAATCCAGAAGGAGAACCTTAGGCCTTATTACAACAGACCCAAAAACATAAAATCTCCCAAACGTGAGGCCCAACATGGAACTGAACTGTGCTAAACCATAAATCTAATTCTAATCACAGTGCATCGCTAGCAAATCTTTCCTAGAGATTGATTAGTTAAGATTATTGAGGTAAAATTATATGGCCACGAACCATGTCGTTATCTCTCAGTATCAAAGGTTTTTTCTTTTCCTAGCTAGGATCCTCCTATATATCGTGGAGGTTAGTTTGTGTTGCATAGGTGTAACAGCTAGGAGGGGTTAAGGCCAAAGAAAGAAGAATGAAAGAAAAGATGAAGATTTTCCACAAATGTAACTAACTTAACCGTCAATCGAGGGCTTATTTGTATTGAATCAGTAACAAACAGCTGTCAAATATTTGCAAAATTGCCTCCTCACCTCTGTTTCCCTTCCTTCAATCCTAATTCCAAGCATTCTGTTTGGATACTCAGAAATCATAGAAAACAAAAAATGCGGCCATTTTTTTCTCGATTTTTTCTTTATGAATATCAAAGCCAATTCCTTGTCCTTTAGTACCATCACAAACAATTAAAATCGGTAAGAACAAAGAAACACTCCTTGATCTCTACTGTTTTTGCACTAGTTTTTGTATGTATCAGCACAATGGCAAGATGAATTAATTTCTTTAGCCAATGAATAACACATAATCCACCATTTTCATTCTCTCTATTCCTTGCAACAATGGCTGGAGCAATGGCTATGATCAAAAGTCTCTGCGGTGCCCGGTTTCGAAGATCACGATCAAAATTACCGACACAAAAAGGGGAATCGAATTCGGATGCGAGTACTTCACCATCATTAGCCTCATCATCACCACCACTACAAACAGCAAGCATGGAAACAAGAATGGCGCCTCCACCTACACTTGCAGTTGGTGCAGCAGAGTCTCAAGACATAAAAGAGAATGACGCACAGGAAGTAAAAGAATTGCCTTTACCACCAGCTATGCTAATGACGGCCGAGACTACTCCTGCCAACAATTTCATGAAAAAGTCAGCCTCCACGCGGAGTCTAAGCAGCGTGAGCATGAAAGCCATGAGCATGAAGTTGCCAAGAAGCATGTCTTTGGCATGGAAGGACGGAGAGGAGAAAAATAATCAAAAGAAGAAAGGGAAACTGAAACATGAGGATTCAGTTTGGATGAAGACAATAATATTAGGAGAAAAGTGTAAGGTACCAGACGAAGATGAAGCTGTGATTTATGATGGCAAGGGGAAGAGAATTTCAACATATCATAAAAAGGCTTCGAGTTCCTTCTCAGCCATGTCTAGGCAGAATTCTCAGATTGATTTAAAAGCAATACCTTCTCAAGACAGGGAAAAGGGAGTCTCAAGAAAAGATGGTGAAGAATTCTCTTGATGTTAATGAACCATCTTAATTTGTGTTATCAAGGGGTAGGCAACTTTTTCTGTTTTCTTTTTTTTTTTTGTTCTTTTACTAATAAACGCCCATGAATTTATATATGATGGTATTGAATGAGAAAAGACAGAAGAAAAAATGGTTATCTTCCTGCTAAAATTGTTGAGGATTACAAATTTGATAATGATATGGTCGCAGCCCTTTTAATTCACAGCAATTCCGATAGTTACTATAGTAGATGAATTATATCAGTATTCATGAACTTAATTAGCATTCAACAACATCATTTGATCTCCCAAAGTACGAAGACAATTTATGCTGTTTCTTCGTCCAAATATTTTCAATGAATGAAGCAGGCCCAGTTTATCCAAGGAAAACCAGCTGTTTAGAGACCTGAACTTAGTCCAGGACAGTTAAATGCAACCATGCACATCGATATCAATATTATTTTGCTCTACGCAATCATAAGCTGTAAAGCAGTAAAATCTGCAATAGCTTTATGTGGGGTGCCATTCCTTCGCTTGTCTAAAATAAAATGAAAAAAAAAAAAAAATTTCCTACAATATTGACATCACCAATAAACTTCTGTGACTTGTTCTTCCATATTTACCAACAAAGAAATCACATGTACAGATATATACCTCCTAAATTTAGAAAAATAAAGATGAGAGGATACCAGCAAAAATTTGTCCAAACCACTGGTTATCACAACAACCAGGAGGCCCAGTACTATTTCCCTTGGATAATTCAAGCTGAAGCCAGAATTGACCAAGTAACGCTAATTATAGCAATGAATGCATTAGGACTTGATTCTGCAACCACCTCTCTCTAGTGACACCCTTTAGAAATCCAACCAGACCTGTATTCGGAAAGCAGTTCTTAGAATAAATACTTCATGATGATTTTTTATTCCATACTATATCAAAGTTTCATCATTCCTTGCAATTGTATTTTTTTTTTTTTTTTTTTCATTTGATGGTGTCAGTTTGCACACACATATTTCATATCGACTTGATGCGTTTATAAAAATTTAAAATGTTAATCCTAAAGTTTAAATTCAGTAAGTATAGAAAAAAAGCAAACCCCCTTAATTATTCACTATGTCAATCTCTTGTGGTTATTGTTCCTCCGCAATTGGTTTCGCCAGAGAGACTCCATTGGATGTATCATATATGGTGTACGGCAAAATTTTGCACAAAATGCTGCCATTCCCTCAGCGGTAGAAGGCTAATTGTTTCTTAATACTTAAGGTATATATTAATTTAATAAAAGCAAACTCACAGGTGTCAGGATGGCCGAGTGGTCTAAGGCGCCAGACTCAAGTTCTGGTCTTCGAGAGAGGGCGTGGGTTCAAATCCCACTTCTGACAAATTTGTTTTTTTTTTATATGTTTAAACTTCAGAAATAAAGAAGACATCTAAAAGATAATTTAAAATTTATCCGGTCAAGTCCTTCCATTTATTTTAGCTAGATTTTCATCTAAATTTAACAAATTTGGACACATGACCGCATTATAAATTCCCTCAGCAATTAGCATACCAAATAGTTTTCTGACAATTCTCTCAATTTCCATCAACTTGTTCCCTTTCAATCACTGTCTTTTATCCCAAGTATAGGAATGTAAAGAAGCATTGATCCTCGTTCTTAAAGTTACTGACGACAAGTTAGTCAAATTCTCTTTGCATTTGTTTGGCTCTGCACTGGTTGAGGAGTGTCATAATTAGTCGAAAACAAAAAAAATTTTTTTTTCATACTACATTACGTTACAAGTTGTATAAAATATATTAAATTATTTAAAAAAATTATTTTAATTTAATGATTTATTTTAATATGTGAATCTATAAAAATAAATAAAATCAAAGATAAAAAAATATATTTATAATTTTTTAATTAAAAGTTTTATATTTATATTTTTTATAATTTTTCCTTTAGAAAAATGATTTATCCTTGTTAACCCATGGATTATTAACTAAAAAGAAAATTAAATAAAATTTTTTTAAAAGAATTTTAATATTTCATAAAATTGTGTCGAAAAAAATAATAATTATTAAAAGCTTACATAGAATTGAACAAATATTTTTTTATTTTTGTTTAATGTTGATGAGAATATCGATATTTGAAAAAAATATAAATTTAATTTTTATATATTTATTTACAAAAGAATGAATAATATTAAAATAAATCAAAACTTTCAGTAAATATAATTTTAAATTAATTAGATAAGATAAATTAAAGTAGTGAATTTGAAATAATAAAAATAATTAACAAAAAATACTAAAATAAAAAGGGACCAAATCACAATACAATTAAAGTTTAAAATTGAAAAAAATATATAGAAAAATTAAGAACCATATAATTTTAAATTAATTGGATGAGAATTCTTTTTAAAAAAATGACAAATTAATGTAGTGTATTTTAAATAATAAAAAAAATACTAAAACAAAAGCTGGATCAAATCACAATTCAATTAAAGTGTGAAATTGAAAAAAAAAATTATATAGAAAAATTAAGGACCAAAGTGTTACAAAAATGACATAAATAATGAAAAGAATAATGATTTATGAGTGTGTGAATAATATTATGAATAATAAAATATCATTTTATTTTGGTGTTATATATATATATATATATATATAAGGAAAAAAAAAAAAAAGAGGTCAGGCGTTGAAAAAAAAAAAAGAAAAAGAAATAAGGCCAACCAAGTCCTTGGCTGCTGGGTTTATATATATATATATATATATATAGAAGGAAAAAAAAGCCAGGAGCTAGAAAAAAGAAAGAAAGAAATAAATAAATAAGGCCAGCCAAGGCCTTCAACCAAAAAGTATATATATATATAAGGAAAAAAAACAAAGGGCGGGCGCTGAAAAAAAAAGAAAGAAAGAAATAAGGCCAGTCAAGTCCTTAGCTGCTGGAGTTAAAAAAAAAAAAAAAAAAAGCAGCTGAAGAAACATGATCTAATGAACAGTGAAAGGAACATTAATAATGAACAATAAAAGTTGCTTGTGTTTTAGAGTATTAGTAATATTAACAAAATAATAATCAAATCAAAAGAAATGGCTTCACGAGAACAAGAAACGTTGGCTAATTTCGATAGACATAACAATATTGCAAGTAAATGTAACAAAAAATTTCTTAAAATTGATAGAAGGATAGACCAGTTAAAATACAAAAAGTTGGTGTTAATATATAAAAACAGCAATCAACTTATTAACTGGAATAAATGCAAATAATGAGACACTTAAAAAGAGAAATAAATGATGTTAGTAAAACATAAGTTGAATAATAGGCAAATGAATGGTTAAAGTTTTTTTAAAAATGAACTTTTAGATGTTGTCTTTCGGGAAAGTGTTCAGAAATTTTACTAAAAATTAAAAAAATTAAAATCTTTTCACAATAATATAAAATTAGTATTTACGGTGAATTGAAGAAAACTCTTAATCAATAGAATTGTGTCATATTATCCAAGTTTTGAGGTGTAGATTTGAGTTGAAAAATGTTGGATTTTTTTTTCCCGAGCTAATAATGTTTCAACTTGCTAGAAATTTAGTCTTCTTTTGACGAATTCTACTCCAAACATACCATGTTAATTTTTTTAACGAATCTCAAAGATATAAGTACTAGTCCGATCGGAATACGTATGTCCATCTTTAATTGGTCTAAAAACCTTGTATTATGCAAGATATATTCTTAATCCAATTCAGTTGTTATATAACTTGGATCCATGTTAAAAATAATTAACTAAATAGCATGAATTTTTATGCAATAAAATTAACTAAAATTTTGATTTATTTTTATGAACAACTACAAAACTTACATTTTGTTTCTATAAGAATCACGAGCTTATTGTATTGATCCTAAAAGGAGAACCTTGTTGCTTACTTGCTAAATTTAGAGAATAAGAATCAAAGAAAAGCATTAAACCTTTGGAATTTACACAAAATTTAAAGACAATCTAAAAGGCAATAAAGATGAAGAGGCTTAAAACTTGCTAAATGCCTCTGTGAACGATTTGTATAAAACTTGGCGCAAAGTGAGAAACTTGTTGATCTTTCCCTTTAGAAAAAGCAACAGAACTTATAGATCCTTGCAATTGTCCTTTGTTATAAGTTATGGTATTTAAGTTTATTGTCCGATTTTTCCTCTAATATACTTGAAGCCCTTGAAATTTCATATCTTGAAGATTTAACAGATTTACATGTCGAAGATTTACATTAGTACAAATAAAAGTAAAAGGACTTAACTGATACATTTCAGGAGTAGAAAGATGAATATAAACTTCAACCCTAAAGATAAAGGTGTAATTTAAACCGATTTGAAGTTTGAGATCATATAAACCATGTACAAAATTTCAAAGCATTCTAACTTTCTTTGCGGGAAAAAAAAAAAAACATGGGAGCCAGCATAACAAATATTTCGACTAAATTATAAATTAATATGTCCAGTCTTAAGAAATGAATTAACGAGTCTTTTTTATTTTAAAACTAACTATTTATTTTTTAAATTGTATTGAACACGCTTAATATTGCTGGATTTTTTAAAATATTTTTCCCTCATCGATTTTTTCATTATTTTAAAAAAATAAAAAATAAACAAATAAACAAAAAATTTAAATAATTAATTTTTGAAATAGAAATAACTAATTGATTCATTTATCAATGCTCGAGAGACTAAAATAGTGTTTAATAAAACTGAAAATTAAGTACTAAATCGTTAAATACTGAATTTTAAATGCTGAATAATTAAGTAATGAATATGTTGTTAACAAGTTGTTTAGTATTACTAAAAATTAAGTATTGAATATAATAAAATTATTTGATAAGTACTGTTGCTGAATACATTAAGGCTATATAGATGACAATTTTAACCTTGCAATTATAACATGATTTTTATAACACAAATAATATATATGTGTGTGTGTGTGTGTGTGTGTGTGTTTGTGTGTATAAATAAATAAATAAATAAAATTAAATAAAAATAATTATTAATAAAAAATTAAATACGATCTAAAATAGCATTAATTGTCGTATAATGCATAAAATAAATAAAATTTCAAATACTAATCAATTCATTTGCAATTTGGTCTCATAAATTAATCGTAAATGTTTGATCAGTTCATGGTTGTGCCCTTTCTTCGGTGAATGATAAATTTATAGCAATATTTGGTATTTGATGCATTACATAATCGTTATCAAATTTTTCAAAACGAGTTATCGATAACAATTATTCTTTAAAAATAATTATATATTGTAACACATACAACAATAATATTTCTTTAAACTACAAATGGATATGAGGCTATTGTCTTTAGAATTGAAAACTTTGTTTTTAGAACGTCAAATGCTTATTCAATAACATTCTCTCAAATTTGCATATGCATAATTAAATATCTTTTCTTTTTATCTTGGATGACGATCATTGTAAATATCAGATAACCAATATAATGTATTACGACACACTGCTAGCAATAGCCCTTCTCCAAAGCCTACTGCTGCTTCACCGCCAATTGATAAGCAGACTCCAGCTGGAATTTATGAAAATCTTAAGAACAATTACTACCGAGCTGATGGGCAGAACTGTGGTAACTTCATCACAGTAAGATCCTAATTAAGTTTATAGTCTAAATATGCAACTAAATTGTAATCGGGCTTTATTAAAATCATATATAAGTTTCCAAAAGCAAGGATTATAAGGAAGTGAGATATGTTTCTTGTGGTGACAAAAAGCACCAACAGAGAGGTTAAACAAGAGAACTCAAAGCTGGTACCTTACCTCTCTTTAATTTTTCACAAAATGCAGTTCAAAAAATTCATTGAGATGTTATTTCTCTGATTTATTATGGTAACGAAAATCATTATTTTTTACAAACTTAATTTAGAATAATTCTTCTATGCTAATTGAAGAGCTGGAAACCGAAAAGGAATGAAAGAGGTCTATCACTTGGAGACCGTCGGAAGTAAGAGTTGCAGGAAACACATGATGTTTTCGGTGAAGATTGAAACCTTGACCACTTTGTTAAAAATAGCCATACAATTATGTATTTTGTAATTTCATTATAGTAGGTATTAAAAGGGCTTGGTCACTAAATGGAACAATAACTAAATAACTAGAGTCCCGAGGCGACAAAAATAATATTGGAAAATTTTAAAAGTTTTCCATCAATAAGAAGCTCAAAAGGCTTTACGTATAAATTGGCCTACTTGCTCAAAAAAAAAAAAAAAAAAAAAAAAAAAAAAACCTTTCCATACAAATTGGAAGCACAAGCTAAATTAAAATTAATTTATAATAAAAAAAATATGAAGTTTCACATCACAAGTTACGACATAAAGACTTTCCCTTATAAAGCTTCTTACCCCGGAGAGCAACATAATTATATGTATCACTATAGATTGAGATATTTGAGAAAGAAAACCTAGAAAGTATAGAGATGGAGAGAATGAAATAAAAGAAAAGCACCTTTTTGGCTGAATGAGTTAAAAAATTTAAGTTACTTAATTAAGTAGTTTTTGACTGAATTTAGATTTTAAATATGAGATTATTTAGATTATCAAACAAACTTTTTATATTAAGTATTATAACTTAATTTTTTAAACTACTTAAATAGATTATCAAGCACACCCTAACTTATAATTTACTCCAAATATTTTGGGAAAAATTCAAATTAGTTTCAAATTCCAACAATTCCTAATTGGATCCTCAAACTAAAAAGTTTCTCAATTAAATCCCTCGTTTCTATTAGAAATATTTTCTATCCAAGAATGCATATATATTCTAATTCTTATGCAACCTAATGATATGCGATTTTAAATAAATAGAAGTTTTTTTAATTAAAAAAAGAAAAGAAAAATTGAAACTTAATATATATGTTTTTTAAAGAAAGAGATACATTAATATTAACTTATTTACAATTTATTGATATTTTAAATAGAATTCAACATTTTGGTATGAGATAATTTAGATAGAAAGATCTTATTAATGAATTATAGTATCTTAAAAATCCAATCGAAAAAATTTGTAATTTAAAGGTCCTAATCCAATTAAAAACAAATGAATAATCTTGAGGATACATTATCATCATCATCATCATCATCTAAAATATTTTAAAGAATTTGCCGTGTTTGTGATTAAGGTTCCGTTTGTTTGGTGAAAAACAATTTCCATGGGAACATCAATTCCTAAAGAAGCTATTTTTCAAGAAATTATTTTTCAAAAAAAATTTCTGCCGTTTGGCAAGTATATGAAAAAAAAATCCTGAAAAATATATTCTAGCGTTTGTTTGATACAAAAAATTAAAATACAAATACATCATGTGATTGTTACATTAACAAGTTTTGAGAAAACTTCAAAAATGCATTTTCATAATATATGATACATTTAGAAAAATTAAAATTTTTTTATAAATACGACTCTAAAATTTTAATTCAAAAAATAAAATGTACTTTTTTAACCATCAAACTAATTTATTAAAATTATTTGAGAAAAAATCAAGTCAATATTCATATTTAGTAAAAAAAAAAAAATCTAAATAATCTTAGCATTGTTATTTTGATAACTCAATTGGGAATTCTTTTTTTTTTAAAAAAATTGAACCGATAATTTTGTCTTAAAAATAATTTTATAAACTATTAGTTATCATTTGTAGATAATTATTCATTTGATTTCCAAAGATTAATGTTGAAATAATTTGTAATCAATTATTCACTACAATTACTAACAAAATTTTTCAACTCGATTAAAATTATAAATGACTCGATTTAGTTACAAATGAATAGTGTAGCGAAAATAATGTATTATTAATTAATTAATTTTAATTTTTTTATAAAAAATTACAATCTTGTAATAATCATTTCTAATTATTTGAGTATAGCTTAGGTGGGGTTTGAGATAATAGTAAAAAAATAGAAATAACTTATTGAAATATTTATTATAAAAATTATTTTAAGGTATAAAAATTATTTTTAAGAATATTTAATGTATTTATAAATCAAAAAATCAAATATTAGTAGAAATAAAAAATAATTAATTAATAATAATTGATAAGGAATAAATAAAATTAATTTGATATATTTTAAATAAAAAAAGATAAGAGAGAAAAATTATTAAAATATATCTAGAGAGAAGTAAGTAAAGCGAAAACGAGACAACTCGTGAGAAGAAAAATGTTTTCTTCTTTTTAAAAAAAATACTCTATTATTTTTGTTAATTAAAATTATTTTTTTCATAGATTTTTTTTAAAAAAATACAAAGTAAATATTGAAAAATAGAGAAGTTTTTTGAACTTGTTTTCTCCCATACAAATACAAACTAAGAGAGCCAACGCTTTCCGTTAGCAGACAACTAATGAGGGGAGAAAGTCAAAAGAAAACACAACACTCCTGTTATTATTATCATTATTATCATTATTATTATTATTAAGCAAGGTTTCTTACAAAAAAAACAAACAAACAAACCCTTTTAAATTTCCTTCCTCGAAGCTCGGAGCTCCTAATTAGAAGCAAAAAACAAGGCAGAGGACACTAAAACGTTTGAGAAACCTCCCTGTCTTCTTTCTTATTCTTTCTTTCATAGGAGAACAGAGCAGGGTCATACATACTTCTACACAGTTTTGCTAAACACATTCGCCTGTTCTCCTGTGACCCAAGAAAGAATAATTTCCTGGTAGGTTTTCTCCAACAATTAATAATAATAATAAAAAAACTGTATAAAACTGTGTCAAAAATTTGATTGATCTCAAGTGGGTTTTGTTTATTTGGTCTGTAGTTTTAGCTATATAAAAGGGTTTTGAGAATTCTGTACTGTTTGATTTTAAAATTTTGATTTTTAGACAAGGGTTTGGATGTTTGTGGCATTGGATTGATGGGATTTTTGTTCAAGCTGGATTGGTTGAGGTTCTTGGATCTGGTTTTTTGATTTTGGATTGATTTTGTTTGATAAAGTGATTATTTTGGAATGTTTGTTGGTGGGTTTGTGATAGATCCATGGGAGATTTGTTGTGATTGAAGGGTATTTGATTACTTGATCCGGTGTGAACAGTTTCTTTGTGTTTGTTGATGTATCTTGTTATTTTTGAAGAGGAGGATAGGCTTGTGAACTTGCCCAATTCGCTTCTGGGTGTTCTCAGGCCATTGGATTTACTTGTTGAACAAAAGGTCTTTTCTTTTTGTGTCCCTAGAGATAGATGGGATAAGGAGTTTTTCAAGCTTCAGAGTGGATAATTATTATTATTATTATCTTTCGTGGAATTGACAAAGGTTGTGATTATATAATTTTGGTTTGGAAATTGGGGTTTTTGGAAGATGAGTTCCTCGCAAGGGTCTACATTGTCTGCTAATGTCGCAGAGTTGGTTGATGGTTCATCTGCCCACGAAGACGTTTCTTTTCTTGATGATGTGCCTGTTTATGTGAAGGAGCTCATTGCTGGTGGTGCTGCTGGAGCATTTGCTAAGACTGTTGTTGCACCACTTGAAAGAACTAAAATACTCTTGCAGGTGCAGCACTCTCCTCTTTATATGATTTTGTGGATTTCATGTGACAGAGTATTTCTGTTACATGTAGTAGCTTTTTGGTTGGATTGGCTATTGTTAGTTTCTTCTGAAACTGAACTCTAGGAATGAAATTGTTTCTAATATGCAAGTTTCGCTGTACTTTTGCAAAAACTAGCTTATGTATCTACTAGTTAACAGAACTTTGAAATTTGAACCAGCAGGTTCTAGGACGAAATTAAAATTCTTGATCTCAAGTTTATTATAATGGATTTTTGTTTAAACTTGTGTTCCAAGTTTAAGTCTGAAAGGATTCTGCTATGCAAATTTGGTGCTGCATGGGGACATGGCTTTTCAGTTGGTTTTCAAATGTTCCCAATCAGTTGGCATTTCTGACATGTTTTTCATAACTTGCTTGTTTTTGTAGACAAGAACTGAAGGGTTCCAATCTCTTGGAGTGTTTCAGTCCTTGAAGAAACTATTAAAGCATGAGGGAATTCTTGGGTTTTATAAGTAAGTTGTCATTTGCTTCTTCATTCACTTTTTATTTATACCAGTTATAAATTTTGATAGTTTATGATTATGCTTCCTTCTAGGGGAAATGGAGCTAGTGTTATTCGGATTGTTTTGATAGTTTATGATTATGCTTTCTTCTAGGGGAAATGGAGCTAGTGTTATTCGGATTGTTCCTTATGCGGCCTTACATTTCATGACATATGAGCAATATCGTGTTTGGATCTTGAATAATTGCCCTGCCCTTGGTTCAGGGCCTGTGATAGATCTATTAGCTGGTTCAGTGGCTGGAGGAACAGCTGTTTTATGCACATACCCTTTGGACCTGGCTCGTACTAAACTTGCTTATCAGGTAACTAGTTTGCAAGATTTTCATTGAAGCTTTTGTTTTTGAGTTTGATGGAAGCCCATGGATTTCATTTTAAAGGGGAGCCAACAATGAAAGCATGTTCGAATGTGTTTCTTGAACCTGGTTTTCAATTCATATTCATTATCTGGAAACTATCTAAATTACGTTTCAACTCAGAGTAGTCTTATTGTTTTTGAACACTTTAACTGTTCTATTAACATGGTTTTTAAGAAGTGGCTGGTTCAGTATGTAATCTTCTGTCCTTCATTTTCTAATGGTTCTGTAGGTTGTGGACACGAGAGGGAGTTTCAGGCGTGGCATGAAAAGTATATGTGCTCGACCTGCTTATAACGGTGTAAAAGATGTACTTGCAAGCGTCTACAAGGAAGGGGGAATGCGTGCATTGTATCGAGGAATAGGTGTGTATATCCTTGTTTTATTATGATTTGCTAGGCATTTGTGTCTGTAGGTGATCGCTACTTGTGTAGGCTTGGATGAAACAATCCAGGTTCAAACCTTTGGCCTCATTACTCTTTATGGAAAGCTTTGAACTTAACAAAGCCTGGACCAAACTCATTTTAAAATAATTTGTCTGGGATCAGGCTTTTATCAAAGCCTGGTTGTCAACTGGACTGGAGAGTTGGGCTGGACCTACCCAATGAGGCCTTTCTTAGTGCAGCCCATGGTCACCTCTATTGTATATGTGATATTAATGGTGGATTTTTCCTTCAAAAAACTAAATATTAAGATATGCTATAATTTGCTGAAATCGCATAGTTTCTGCAAGCATTTTTAACCATTCTAGATTGATCTGAATAACTGAATGGTACAAATTAATTGTGTATGTGGTGATTAAATTCATTCTTTAACTAAATTTCAACAGGTTTATTTGATTTATGATTTAGCTTTCTATAGTTATTGTCTTAATTTGTTTTCAATAGTGAAAATTTACGATATAAACGAAATGGAGATGGATAATATATAGAAAGTGTAATGCCATGCAAGACAAATTATATTGCATTTGCCAAGATCTTTAGTCTTTCACCTCTCTCAAAATAGCTAAATGTCACGACCTTTGATAATTGCAACTGCTAAAATCTTTTTCCTAAACCAACAAGTAGTTTCAAAAGTAACCTCTATACAATGCCATTTTGTCTCTTCTTTTTGTTCAAGAAGCTGCTGCATTGGCGTTATCGTTGCTTACAAACTCACCTTTTATGACAAATTTAAACTCAGATAGTTTTCATCAATTGAATTAAAAAATAATTTAATCCCAACAGCCATTTGGGTCTTTCCACAACCAAAATTGGATTATTGAATATTTCTGGTCGAAACCCAAATTTACCACTATTGATGACTCAATTCAGCTTTGCCAGTGTGCACTCTTTCAGCTTTCCCACTACGACCACAAGCATGAGCTCAAAAGCATTTTAGATACCTTAAAGGAAAGCCCAAAATAGTTGTAACATAGAATTAAAACCACTAGCAAAATCACATTTTCATCAATTTTAACTATGTGACGCGCATGTCACTGTTGACTCCACCCAGCTGCTGCTTTTTTTTTTTTTTTTTTTTGAGTTAAAACTTCTAGCATATCATGAACCATAGAAACCTTTGATCCTATGTGTTGACATGTTATTTTGACAATAATAGTTTACAAACTTTACTATGATTTAACTTCTAGTTTAATATATATATATATATATATATATGCGTGTTAATTGCCCTGTTCACCTGGCCACAATGATGAAGTTTCTTTATTTGAGCAGGTCCAACACTTACTGGAATCCTCCCTTATGCGGGTTTGAAGTTCTATGTTTACGAGGAACTTAAGAGACATGTCCCTGAAGAGCACCAGTCCATTGTGATGCGTCTTTCATGTGGAGCTATAGCAGGGTTATTTGGGCAGACAATGACATACCCATTGGATGTTGTTAGAAGACAGATGCAGGTATAGCACAATACTCGTGCAATTCTCATTTAGCTGGCTATTCTAGACATGCCTATTTCTGTAGGATGTAGAAAATTGTTATGATATAGCTGTACAGGGAGTGAACTTTAGTCTTTAGGGAACTTGCTTTACATGAATTCCTTTATGAGTGATTGCTGCATCTGAATATCTGAATTTATCCTAGATGTTAGATTTGCTGCTTTCTGAATTTATATTAGTGAATTGACCATGTTGCTTGATTGCTTGACCATCATATGCCTATTCACAATTTCAAAGTTGATAGGAAAAGCATGTCAAACTTGGTGTAACCTGTTTCAAATTTGTCAAAAAATGACAGCTCCTTAGTTGGACTTTTTAGTGTCAGCATACATCAGTTTGAAACTTAGACAAGAATTTTGGGATGGCAGGTTTTAAAGTATTTCTGGGATGTTATTTGACAGGTTGAAAATTTGCAACCTTCAAGCCATGGTAATGCAAGATACAAGAACTCATTAGAAGGGCTTTCTACTATAGTCCGCAATCAAGGATGGAGACAGTTATTTGCTGGCCTGAGCATTAATTATATTAAGGTAATCCTCAATTTATAGAATATTACAACTGATATTACACTTTTGTCATCTATGCATTTTTGCTGACTAGCAAATATGTACTTCCATTGCACATGAACTTCATTTTGCATTAAATAAGATAGTATTAACTAATTGTAGCTGCTTGGTTGTTGAGTTTTTTGATAAAATGGGAAAAAATTGTTTAGGTGCTTTCAAGTGATAACCATTTTAATATAATTTGGAATGGAAGAGACAATTTCGTTTCCGAGTCCTTGATTTGGGATGCATGTGATATTGGATATATTAGGAGTCCAATAAATTGCCAAGTGTTTTTATCCTTTTTACACCTGAAGACTCTTTTATAGATGATTTAGTTATTGATTTCAATTTATGCAATGTACTAATGACTCCTTTGATTTTTGACTGGCTTTCATGGATTCATGCAGTGCCTGACACTCACCGCCCACTCTTTATTCTTTATAGGCATGCTATTGGTAGTTTATTTATTCATCTCACTAAGGCAATCCTTTTTGTGAAATTTTGACTTATCAAGGAACTACAAGAATATGGTCTTCTGTCTTCTTGCATTGGATTGTGGCAAGTGTAATGCAAATCTTTGGTTAAAGAATCTATTGCTTATTATGATTCATTAGAGGAAATGAGAAAGAAATTTGATTATTTTTCTCCTGGGTTTGGAAGCTTTTCCCTTTTCCTTTTCTTTTATTTTTTTCTCTCTCTGTCTTTTTTTTTTTTTTTTTTTTAAAAAAAAAGATGGCAATATGATGGTGCTTTTCCTTTATATTTTCCTAAAATTTCTGGCAAATCACAAAAACTGATGCACTGATATATGGAATTTTTTAACCCCTTTTTTACTATCTGAAAAACAAACTTCAAAAATATTGCCTGTTTCAAAACTACCTTTTTTCTTGAAGGCCTGCTATACTAACCTTATTATGGTCGGGTGGCTCTGTAGAGCATTGTGGAAATGCTGGACTAAATATCATTATCAGAAATTTGACCCACTGGTCAGTAAAAAGAAAAAGGCAGAGAGAGTAAACGTATCACTATTGACCCACTGGTCATTAAATAAATGGCCTTGCTATTTATAGTTTCATGAAGCTTTATAGAGGCCATGTACATTGCATTAGATAGTATCACTATTGACATGCATGTGCGGGAAGTGTTTAGGAACTAATCTAATTGGTTCAAGGCTCTCGAAAAGTTCACCAAGAGTTTGTTTTTCTTTATCCTGTGTTTGCTCTTTAGTTTGGATTCACAATGATTTTCTAGTTAATAACACCGTTTCACTACTTTATTGCCAGATTGTTCCTTCCGTGGCAATCGGCTTCACTGCATATGACATGATGAAGGTTTGGCTTCGGATTCCACCTCGACAGAAATCTCAATCAACGTCCACTGGATAAATCTCGAGCTGACTAAGATACAATCACAACTATACAGTACTCAATTTGTAATTTCTTATTGTTATGAGACTTTAAGATAACTTGGATATTTGAAAGGTTTTTATATATATTTGGTGCATTTGATTTTCAAATGGATGGTTGAGGCCAATTTGGATTGAAATCATTATGGAAATCAAAATTAGGTGACTACTGCTATTTTTAAGCCTTTACAAAACGCTCTCGTCGTATTTTGTTGCATGTTAAAGTAAGGCACGGAGAATTAGGCTAACTATCCAGTCCCACAATCCTTGGGTCTTAGTTGGCATGCTGAGATTATTTTGGCTTGTTACTATAAGCACTCTGGCTGTGGTGGCCCATGAACATTAGCCATTTTCGTGGAAATGGTTTTCTTGATGGCTGGCATTTGTTTTCTCGTAAAATAAAGATTTGGAAATGTCCATTTCCATTTGTGTCGCTAGCCACCTTAATTGATTGTTTTGATGGAAGTTGCTTGCCCATTTTTTCTCCAATGGATGATTTGGAAATACTAGGCCATTACATGCACAAGTCCATTTCGTGATGCGTGAAATTTGATTGTTTTGGAAAATCATGTTTAATTTTCCAGTTTTGGTTTTAGCTAAGCTCATAAGGATTTCAGTTACAGGAAAACCAAAAAGACTTTGAATGTTCCTTAGCTGAACAGGGGTACCAGTCAATTCAAATATGTCCTTTGTATATTCAATTCTATTGTACGTCTGATAAGGTTCGTATTGAATTCAATTGTGCGTAAGTGGTAAGGTTTTGGACGGTTGTTCAACAAACTTTCATTATTCCAACTTGTTTGGTGGGCCATTAAGAATTACCGACCATTGCTGTCCTCCATGCATGAATAATAAAGTAGTAGTAGCTGGTTCGTTGACTTGAAAAATACTTGTTTTGATAGATTTAAGAAGTCATTTCCCATCATAATCATGTTTCATTTTCAAGTTCATTAATTCAACAAATAGAAATTGATGAGGTTGGATAACCTGTCGTGGTTTTTCATTGCTGTTGAGGGGCAGTGATCGTGCTGGATGGAATATTCTTATTTGACGATCAAGTAAGTATAATGAGGAAAAAGTTAGCCAATTAAGGTTATGTTTATATAAATCAAAAGAAAATAAACAATAGTATCGAGAAAAAAGATTTAAAATTTTTAATCTTTAAGTCTCATGACACTATATATAATCAAAAGATTCGTTAAGAAGGAATAGAATGGTTAATTCTTTTACTATCAACAACTTTTAATACTTGATTAAAGAATAAATATTATTAATATTGACATATCATTATTAAAAGAGTATGATGACATCATTATTGATGTGAGTTAGACAAAAATAGCATTGATATCTTGCTATCATTTATTAGATGTACTCGTTGTTGTTGTTTTTTTTTTTTATTGGTTAGTGTTGGTTTGATTCTTTAAGATGTAGTCGATCGTGCTAGATAGAATATTCCTATTTGAGGATCAAGTAAGTATAACGAGGGAAAAGTTGGCCAAATAAGGCTATGTTTATATAAATCAAAAGAAGATAAACAATAGTAGTAAGAAAATTTTTTTTTTAAATTTTTAATCTTAAGTCTCATGGCTATATAGATAATAAAAAGATTCATCAAGTTGTATGAAAAGAGAAATAGAATGATCAATTCCTTCACTGTCGATAACTTTTAACACTAATTCAAACAATAAATATCCTTAATATTGACATATCACTATTGAAAGAGTATGATGACATCATTATTGATGTGAGTTAGACAAAAATAACATTAATATCATGTTATCATTTATTAAATATACTCGTTTTTTTTTTCTTTTTTGATTGGTTAGTATTGGTTTGATTCTTTATGATGTAGCCGATCATGTTTCTTTATGTAGTGTTTTTTTATCAGTGTAGATGCATTCTTCCATATATGTCTTTGGTGTGTGGTTCCATCCCTCAAGCTTTGCCTAGGCATGCTATTAGGTGAAAGAAGAGATTGTGTGCACGCATATCATTCATAGTAGAGACTTGGGGGTCTCGTGAGATGATACATGTCATTAAGAAATATTAGAATTTGTATGTATATACAACAATAAAATGATTAAATTTAAATACAATTATATTAAAATTTGTTTAAAATCACATCGACCAGAAGTTGCATATTTCTCTCTTTTCTATTGGTTCTCTTTTTATTTTGGTTCTCTCTTAGAAAAAAAAATCCTAGTTGCCTATGATGATCTTTTTTTACCAGCAACACTTTTCCTTTTTTTTTTTTTTGGTTATTGTTCTGTTTTTCTTTTTAGTGTGTTAACAATTTGGAACTAGATTTGATTTTTGCATATAATTCTTGTTTTATCTTTAAAATAAGATTTTTGGTGTCTTTTTATTAGGTTGTGGTGGGTATTTTTTGTTAGCAAAAAGGACACTGATGCTCTTCGACAACTTTGAATGATAGAGGTTTTCTATCAATCAATGGTAGTGTGGCCCATTATACATTGATTTTATGGCGATGTTACGCCGAAGCTCATGCAAATATAATATACAATTTATTTATCACAAATATTATAAAGCTTGGCTGTGTAATGAGTGAAATTTGATCGCATGTTAGTTGAACGCCGACCGGATGTTTAAGATCAAGAAGGCATTACCTTTTTTCGCTTAACAGGATGTTTCGACCACAATTTCACTCATGGTACAAAAAAAAAAAATTGATCGGATGTGACAGTATGCAGTCCAACGTTAAAGGAAGTGAAAAAGCCACCTTCAAGTTAGAGAGCCATTTTGGTACCTGAATTCTTTGGATACCTAAGAAAAATCTAGTATTTCCTCATTTTTATTCTTTGATAGGTCCCTTCTTTCCTTTCCTTTCCTTTCCTTTCCTAAAATAATAAGAAGCACTAAAGCAATCTCAACAATATTTCTCATATTTTCAAGAATTCAGGAAGGATTGTTAAAATTGAAATGATTCGATCCAAAAAAAAAAAAAAAAAAAAAGAAATCTATGTATATGGGTAGAAGTACAACAAAAGTCCGTATCAAAAAAGGTATACTATAAAGACAAGTAGGCAGAAAGTCAGTGACCGCAATGTCCCTATGATATGATAAGGGATGTCGACTTCTCTATCATTCGGATGTTGCCACCGTGTCCTTTTTTTTTTTTACTTTTTGTTATTGTCATGAAATAATAATAATAATAATAAAGAAAGTATGTTGTGCATGGACATAATTTTCTAATGTGGACTTGAGTAAACCTTACGGGCTTACCAAAATTTTCCATGGAAATTTTGCCCCAAGAATGAAAGGGGAAGCAAAGTCAACAACGAGTATCAAACTTTGAACGGTTGAATTTGATTAATTCAAATCAAAATGAGATCAGCAACCAAAAACTGTAGTATTTTTTTTTCTTACTAATTATCAACGTAAATAGCATGTGAAAAGACACTCTAACCTCTTTTTCTATTTTTTTGGTTCGGTTTTACATAGAAAAATGTTATTCTCGTGTTAATTTTGTTGCTATTCTCAGCTTAACTTTTACATGGATAAAAAAATGGTTTTAAACCGACTTTGCTTTTTCCAAATAAAAAATAAAAAAATAAAACATTAAAATCACGGTTACTTGCAATATTAATTGTATAATTGTATTCAATTATAATTTAACTAATTATTTATGAAATCATGTTTCAGAATAAAATAAAAACTATTTCAATCTGCTAGACTTCAAAAATGATAAGAGTTACCGTGTAAATGATGCTATCTCTAATTTTTCTAGGTATTATTCTCAGGAATGGTTAGTTCGAAATTTTATTTGCATCGTTGATGTCGAGATTATGGCTCTGTGATTAATGTGGATTGGTCGGCTACAAAAGAAGGGTGGAAGTTTGCCTTCATGTCTCTGCCTACAATATTGGCACTCGTTTAATTAGTTTTAAATGTTGAGTATTGTGGTATTTAGACTGTTCTTGAATTTGTTTGGAATAGAAAAATAAAAGTTGAGGTTGTTTCCAAATTGATGATGAATCTTTTTTAACTTAGAATTCTCATCTAATATCTTATCATAATCAATTCTTTCAAAGCTGTAGTTTACTATTTTATAAAGGTTTTATTTGGTTGTCTAAAAATTTTATAAGATGATATTTGTGAGATTTTGTTTTCTCGAATCACTCATTTGTATTTTTCAAGAGTTTTTGCCCCTTTATAATAATAATAATAATAATAATAATAATAAATTACTTCATAAAAAAATTGCTCCCAAAAAGATAATATTTACCCTAAATTGATGATGAATCTTTTAGCCTAGAATTTGCATATAACATCTTATCATAGTCAATTAATTCTTTTTATTGTTTTGCTTTTGCAATGTTCTTTGGATATTTGTTTTGATTATATTTATCGAGAAGGAAAATTGATTAGTCAATTATGTTCCTTCTTTAAAAGTTGAAATTTACTATTTTATAAAAGTTTTATTTGATTGTCTCAAAATTTTATGATATGGTATTTGTGAGATTTTGGTTTTTCGAATCACTCATTTATAATTTTCAAGAGTTTTTACCCTCTTATAATAATAATAAATTACTTCATAAAAAAAATTACTCCCAAAAGATAATATCGTAGAACTAATGCTTTGAATTTTACGATATGATATTTGTGAGATTTTGGTTTTCCGAATCATTCATTTATAATTTTCAAGAGTTTTTACCCTCTTATAATAATAATAATAATAATAATAATAATAATAATAAATTACTTCATAAAAAAAATTACTCCCAAAAGATAATATCGTAGAACTAATGTTTTGATTTTTTTTTTAAAAAAACATTGCAGAAAAATGTCTTGAAATAAAGTTCATTTGCCTAGTTCTATATATTATTAACAAAAAAATAGGTATTCATAGAAAGTTTATTTTGTATTTGCATGAAATGAAATGAATGAAAGAAGACACTTGACATTAAACCATTAATATTTGTGATTGGCCTTTGCGTTCTTTTCCAATCCAAAAAAAAAAAAAAAAAAAATCTTACCTATTAATTAAATAGTTAGTTTAATTTAATTCAACTAGACGTATAAAACATGCCAAATTAATCTGTACTTCCTCAATCTTTCCCCATAACTTCCTTGAAAGTCCCTTGCACTAACACGCCCCTCCAAATTCACACTTCGCGAGCAGGCAGCCAGGCAGCAGCAGCTTCACAGGATGGAATTTGGTTTCCTTTTGACATTATTACTTTGACTAAAATAATTTTTTTGATTTTTCAAACTGCAACTTGTCCTATATAAGAGCTCCTTGTTAGCTGCCAGAAGCATCACTTAGACCGACTCATAAGATTGTTACCTAACACCTCTTTGGAACCTCCCACACAAAGATCAAAGAAAGTAAAAAAGAGGCACAGAACTATTTTGCAGCCACTGTTGTGTGGATATCTTGGTGAGCCATCTTGATTTAAGCCCTTCTCTTTCAGTTTTATGTGCATGTTGATGGCTTCTTGCAGTGGACTTGATTGCTAAACACTTCGATTGTTTTCATGATTAAAGATCAAACCTTTTTTTGTTTCTTACTTTATATATGTGATTGTGTAGTTGATATGGTTATGATTGTTTTAATGATGAACAGGCTTGGCAATTGTGATAAGACAAAAGAGGCTTTGATAGTTCTTTAATGGGCCTTTCGTTTTCAATACTCTTATCTGCATGGTCTGCAGTTCTGGGACACAAGTTTTTTGGCTCGAAGGATACTGTTGAAAGGATCGCTGTAAGGTCCCTAAGTTTTGGAAGGAAAGATGGAGAAATAGGTTCAAGAACAAGCAGCTTCAAGAAAGATGATTCAGAAACCAAAGGAAAATTTGATGGGTCAGATAAAATGAGTATAGAGAGATCATTAAGCTTTGACAAATGGGATTCCAGTGAAACTAAGGCTAAATCATCTGATTCATCCAAAACTTCAAACTCTCTGAAGTTCAAAACTAACGAAATAGCCCACTTAACAAAGCCTACAATATCACTCCCTGAGCCCCCTGTGATTTTCTTTTCTCCAAGACCTATTAATGAGCTTGATGCTGCTGCAACTAAACTTCAAAAAGTCTACAAGAGTTATAGGACTAGGAGGAACCTTGCAGATTGTGCGGTTGTTGTTGAGGAACTCTGGTATGACGTCTCTCAATATTCGTAATTTCTTGATTCTCAACATATTTGTTTGGTGTTCTTTGTGATGATTTGTTGCAATATTCAATTGGTATTTCCATTGTTGTAGGTGGAAGGCCTTGGATTTTGCGGCTTTGAAAAGGAGCTCCGTATCATTCTTCAGCATTGAGAAACATGAAACTGCTGTATCAAAGTGGGCAAGGGCCAAGACAAGGGTTGCCAAGGTACTTTACTTAATTGCTGGTTTCTTTCATACAAGTCAATGAGTTGATTCATCGGAAGTTTTATAGAATAACATGTATTCTTTTGTGTTTGCAGCTTGGAAAGGGTTTATCCAAGGATGAGAAGGCCCAGAAGTTAGCCCTGCAACACTGGCTTGAAGCTGTAAGTCCACATGTGCCCTTGAGAATTGTCTTTAATTTAATTACTCAAATGGATCACCTAGCTTATTAAACTGCTTCTCTATGTTTGCAGATCGATCCACGCCATCGTTATGGACACAATTTACACTTCTATTATGATTCTTGGTTTGACAGCAAGAGCACACAGCCTTTCTTCTACTGGTAAATAATTAAGACTCATGCAAACCAAGACCTTTATATGATATGCAATTGTATAAATATTGCCTACCTTTCTTTAGTCCTTTCTACTAACCTTCAATTTTAATTGCCTCATGGAATTGAAGGTTGGACATTGGTGATGGTAAAGAAGTAAACCTTGAGAAGTGCCCAAAGAGCAAGCTTAATCGCCAATGCATTCAATATCTTGGACCGGTAATGTTTCATGACTCTGCCTGTGTGCAATTCTATTCTAAATTTACCCGTCTCCTAAACCCCTTCTGTGCATTCTATAGTTACAATTTTCATGCATTTATGTAAATTCTCACATAGTTTTGGTCCCTTGCAGAAAGAAAGGGAATCATTTGAGGTGATTGTAGAGAGTGGCAAGCTTGTGTACCGCCAAACCGGAATGCTAATTAACACGTTGGGTGAGTCGAAGTGGATTTTTGTGTTAAGCACAACAAGATCCTTGTATGTAGGGCAGAAGAAGAAAGGTGTTTTCCAGCACTCAAGTTTCTTAGCTGGAGCAGCTACAACAGCTGCTGGAAGATTAGTAGCCCAAGAAGGGGTTCTTCAGGCAATATGGCCTTATAGTGGCCATTATCTCCCTACTGAGGACAATTTCAAAGAATTCATTAGTTTTCTTGAGGAGCATAATGTGGACTTAACAAACGTTAAGGTAATTAAAAACTTAAAAGCACTTCCTAGTTGCCTTGGAATGACAGTCATATATGTTTATGTGTTCATATATATATATATATACATGTAGCTTATTTTTACCATTTCTTTGCAGAGATGTTCAATAGATGATGATAATGCTTCATTCAAAGTTGCTGATGAGGAGCCTAAACAAGAAGAGGAGATGAAGCAAATCACCACAATTATATCTGCCGACACAAAAGCTAATGATGTTGATGTGCCTATCGATAATACAACCAAAGATGAACAGGACAATTTGGAAGCTAATGCAGCCAAGTTGCAAGCACCAGTATTTGACCTGAGCAAGCGGTTGTCATGCAAGTGGACAAGTGGATATGGTCCCCGTATTGGGTGTGTGAGGGACTATCCAGCTGATTTGCAATCTCGGGCGCTTGAGCAAGTCAACTTATCGCCTAGGATCAATCCTGGCCGTGCAGGGAGCTGTATTCCGATCCCTTCCCCGAGGCCTAGCCCTAAGGTTCGAATCTCACCAAGGCTTGCATACATGGGACTTCCTAGCCCAAGGGTATCGGTTAATTAGCTTCCTCTTGTTAAGAGTTGAGATTCACCAAATGGTTTCTGAATTTTGGAGGTTTAATTTGATCAGCTGTGTTCTTGGCCTTAAAATATATGTTCAAGAGGGGCTTGAAGGCCTTGACAATTTAGGCACTTCTTGTGCCCTTACCCTTACCTTACCATCAGTTTTTTTTTTCTGGTCAGGGAACATTTAGGTGACAATTAACCCATCATTCCTTGTTCTTTTATTTATTTATATTTATTTTTCATGAAGTTGTACATATATAATAATAAGCCAAATGAAGTTTATTTTATCTTAAAGTTGTGATATGTTGTTGACTGCTGATGCTCCTATGATCAATGAACATGGTTGTTATTTTGGTGCTATATAATTGGAAGGAATCAAGGGTTGGTGTTTGCTGATGCAAGAGATGAATATCTCCTAGACTCCCCTTGCTTTCTTTGCGTGGGAACTGGAGAAGGTTACCTGATGTATTTTTTCTGCAGTATTCAACAAAAAAGAAAGAATTTGTCAAAAAAAAGAACAAAACAAATGTGCCAATCAAACAAAACTAAACAGAGAGCACGTGAGGTGACTTCGTAGAAATTATGGCGATCCCGATCCCTTGCACTTTTGTTCAACTATGTGCATTGACTATTGACTCAGGGTCATCCTCATCCCCGAGAAAAATCTCAAGGGACGACCACCTTATTCTTTCTTTCTTTTTCTTTTTCTTTTTTTTTTTTCTAAGGCTGGGAATGTTGACCTGAAAGTTAATTCTTGTGCCTGTGTATGGGTTCCTCCATGTGTCCCAAAGACAAAGGTTATCGTCTTATACAGGATGGGGGTGGAATAGTAGAATAATGACGCTAGATAGTAAAGGCCCACCAAGACCTCTTGTACCCTAACGGAGAAAAGAAATACAGCAAGTTACTTCCAATTGTTGGAAGTTTTTTCACGAGAAGATTGAAAAAGACATAGTTGCAATCCTTAAAAATGACGAGTGCCACCACTATTTGTTCCCCATAAAACCCACTGATGGATCGATCAGATGATAAGTAACGGAGTAAACAATTCAATAAGTCAATTTCAGTGAATATAGCACAATCTATAAAAAGAAAAAAGAAATAAATCCATACCCAAGTTTTAGATCAATCTCATCCAGGTCAGGATCTGAAGGAAACCCGATCGTTCTGTCACCCATGTCTAGGTTGTTGTCCATGGTCCAGCAAGGACAAGGTGGTTAGAATATAATGGATTGTTGGAGTCGATCATAAATGCCCTGTCCTGGTTAGTGCCTAGTGGGAAGGCACTCCAGTGGGATAGTTAGGTGCATTTGGATAAGAGGGAAGGCAGTGTCCAATAGGCATATAAAAAGATCTAATACACACCATACAGAGCCAAAAAGGTGACTTAAAAATCCTATCGAAGAGTAACCTGCAGCTAAAGCAAGGAAACATGATGGTAACTAGCAAGGAAAAGCCCTCGATGCGGTCCATAATTTCTTTTGTCGTTCTTGAAAGCTCGGTAGCTCATTTATTGCAGTGAGCTGTATTCTCTCGAGGCTTGCAAATTAACCTGCAGCTAAAGCAACTAGAGAAAAATTTTAACTTCGGAACTAGTGAAGAACAAATCACCTCATGCTCATGCATGGTGAGGAGTTTACCAAGGCAAACTTTCCTACTCGGAGATCTAGCTTCTTTCTTAGCTAATTAAACCTAGACCAGTGAAGTTCCCACAGATTCCAATTTCCTTGTGATGTAAAGTTGTGCTAATTTTGGTAAATATAAGAGAGCATAAATTTTGTTTTTCATGAGTTGATGAATCCCTCATTCGTGTACATCGGAAAACATTGCTTCCACATAATTAAGTTCATTAATTCTAATCATGGCTTTTGTTCAAGAGCATTGGCTATGCTTTGTATTAAAAATAAGAATTAATTTATACCAAGAATGTATTAAATGCTAACTATCACATTAAACTTTTGGTATTTATAGAGAGCTTTTTAAAGAATGCATGTTGAACACAAAATGAACTTGACAGAGCATATCCTAGTTTTATTAAGGAAAGTTTGTTTGTTTGTTTTTTTTTTTTTTTTGAATCTTCTAAGAATCTCAAGTTTAAAAATTTAGATTAATCTTTTACTGATAGAAACAAAAATATAAAAATTTTTTTTTTCATATATAAACATTAAAACTCGAAATCACTTTGCTAATAGAATAAATTATTTTTACTCAAATTAACTTTTTTCGGAGAGAAAAAGCTCTTCTTTAACAAAGTGTTCTCAAACATTATAGTTAGCCAAGCCCTAGATTGCAATACTATGACTGCTTTATATATATGTTTTGTTTGTTTTTATCAAAGACTATCTTGATACTTGCACATAAAGAAAGAGATGCATTACTATTATTAACCAACATAGGATGCTCTCTTCAAAGTTTTAAACACATCCCCGAGCTTATGAATTAAAGATTTGTGTATGAATTCAAAATCCTGCAAAAGGTTAACCAATAAGCCAAATCCCATTGAACAACGTTTCAAAACCATGTACTTGGCTTTAGGGACAAATCCAAACACATCCATAGACCATAGTTACAAATTTCAAACTCCATCTTTGGCACTTTGTAAGCAAGGATTCTGATCTGAACATGCCATTGGTTTCCATTTACTGACATACTTTTCTGATTAGCAAGTCATTGGCTTTCAACTTTTCGCTCCCAACTGATGAAAGTTTCGAGCCCTCCGATTCTGTGGAAATTGGGACCCACTAAACAAGTGTCCAAATAGTATTGTTACGTCCACACAGCTCGACAACACTAAACTAAACTAAACTAAACTAATACTAGTATTGTTTGTTTACGAAACACCAGATCTTCATTACACTGACTAGAGAAGATTTATTGTCGGCATGCTTTTGTAGTAACCAAAGGGTTTGTGCCTTTCCATGCTTTTTTGGCCAAAAGTAGGTGGGTCCATCTGTAATATAGTGCTAAACACAGGGGTAAAACATCTCCTCCTTCGAAATCGAGCGGGACAAGTCGTTTTTGTCTCTTGTTTGTTTGAATTTCAAATATCAAACGGGCGCATTGGACCATGTATGCACAAACAAAGAAGCAAGAAACCAATTTACCCACTAACCCACCATCACAACCCACGTCTCTCTCCCTCTCTCTTAAGTCTTACCCATTTTGTATATCTCTTTAACTATTTTTCAAGCTCGGTTTGAAGCTATTTCTAATTCTATCTCAAGCTACATTATTGCAACGTTTTTCTTTTTGAAAGTTTGCTCTTTCAAGTTTTAAGAGGTTGAGAGACCATAAATTGTTACTTGCTTGCTCTGCTTGAGCACGAAATTTGTAGTGATGGGTGCGTCAGGCAAATGGGTGAAATCCCTTATAGGTCTTAAAAAGACTGATAAAGAACAAGATCATGTAAGCTAAAAGCCTCTCAATAACCAAAAAGATCCGACCTTTTTGTTCTTTACTATAGAGATGGTAATGTTAGTGATTTGTGTTGTTTCTGTAGGAGAAGGTGAATGGCAAGAGCAAGAAATGGAAGCTATGGAGGAGCTCATCAGGTGATTTGGGGTCTTCATGGAAGGGTTTTAAAGGGAACCATAAAGCAGCATCAGAAGCATCAACTTCTTCACCATTGGCTGATCCATTTACTGCTGCAATGGCTACTGTGGTTAGAGCTCCTCCTAAGGATTTCAGGGTTGTCAGGCAAGAATGGGCTGCTATCAGGATTCAAACTGCTTTTCGTGGATTCTTGGTAAATTGTTTTTTATCTTTTTGGTCTTGAATCTTTTTTAACAGTTTTGATTGTTGAGAGAATGGAATAGGAGAGAAAGAAAGTTGAATGTTTTGAAATTTTATGATTTGGGATTTGCGTTTACTACTTTGTGCAAAAATAAGAAATTTCCCCATTCTTTCGACTAGGAGAAAATGAAACCTTGTCCATATGTTTAACTGTTTCATTGCTAAGAAAATGGCAGAAAAGAGAGTTGAAGTTGAATGTTTTTTACTTCATCATTTGGGTCTTGCATTTTCTATCCATCACAAAATACGATCTTCCTTCAATCTTTGAAATTGAAAAGACTGAAGATACTACACATCTCACATAAGTTCACACACATGCTGTGTTAAGGTAGCCACTAATTAGTACATAGGAAGCTTAAGATCTGTTAATGATCATTGACTCTTTATTTGCAATAAACTGAATCATATGTTAGCAAATGAAACACCAATCATACGAAGGAAACAGGTAGTATAAGAGAAGTTTTACAAATTTTAAAGAAGAAACTTTGAACAGAATACTTGGTCAATCAATTTACAATGTTTGCTGAACAATTGAGCAACTGGTTGTAGGCAAGAAGGGCTCTGAGGGCCTTGAAAGGAGTTGTGAGACTCCAAGCTCTAGTTCGAGGAAGACAAGTGAGGAAGCAGGCTGCAGTGACACTTAAGTGTATGCAGGCTCTTGTTCGTGTTCAAGCTCGTGTTAGGGCTCGTCGTGTGCGAATGTCCATGGAAGGGCAGGCTGTACAGAATCTGCTGGATGAGCGACGTAGCAAGGCTGATCTCTTGAAACATGCTGAGGTATCATGAAAACCACAAAACAGATACATGTTAATGACCATTTTGGTAGTCCTTATCATTAGCTATGCTGATTTTGACTCTTTTGCAAAACTAAGGTGCTTGATTTGATTTCAGGAAGGGTGGTGTGATAGAAAGGGGACATTGGATGATGTGAAGTCAAAACTTCAAATGAGGCAAGAAGGAGCCTTTAAGAGAGAAAGAGCTATTGCTTACTCCCTTGCTCAAAAAGTATAGAACCATCATATGTTTTGGTGCCTTTCTCACTCACATAAGCTAAGTATGTTTACTAACTTCTTTATGTTTTCAGCAATGGAGATCAAAACCCAGTTCAAACACTCGAACCAATAACTCAGTATTTTCTTTCAAAAATGAGGAGTTTGATAAGAATAGCTGGGGATGGAGTTGGCTTGAACGTTGGATGGCAGCCAAGCCATGGGAGTCTAGATTGATGGAACAATCCCAAACTGATCCCTTGGTGACTCCACCACCAAAGTCCTGTGTTGATGCGAGCACACATTCAAAATCAGCTGAACAAAGTTTAGTGAAAGTCCGGAAGAACAACGTAACAACTAGAATTTCAGCAAGACCTCCAATTGGGCATGCTACTCGGTCATCTTCGAGTCCAAGTTCTGAATTCCGCTTCGACGAGAGCTCAGCTTCTTCATCAATTTGCACTTCTACAACACCAATATCAGGAAACACTGGCTTGGCCTCAGATAAAACAGAGGACAGTGGTTACAGTAGGCCAAACTACATGACCCTGACTGAGTCAACCAAGGCAAAGCAGAAAACATACAGTCATTTATCTCATAGGATTCAAAGGCAGTCCATGGATGAGTTTCAGTTTCTCAAAAAGTCGGGGGGCTTCTCAAACGGAGATTCGAAAAGCAGTGCTGGTTCTGATCCTTCTGTTAATTTATCTAAGCCACTTTGTTTGCCAACAAGATTTGATAGGAACTCAATGAAATAACTAAGAGGAACAGATCATTTGTATGATTAGGTTGATCAACTTTTGTTTATTGAGAAGTTTCAACAAGTTGTTGTTCTCCATTGTTGAGATATGTGCATTAAGTTGGGAGCGTTTTGGCAATCATTAGTAAGCTGTAGCTAAGACAGCTTGATGAGTTTACTAGTGTTTTGAGGGTTATCCATTCTGTAAAATAGTTCATTTATGGTTGTGTATCTGATCTTCACCAGTATCTTCCTACTATCATTCAAAATTGTGACAGATCTATGGATTTTTGCAGGACGTGGGTTGTTATAAGACTTTAGTGCCATCACCTTCAAGTATTGTGAAATCACATCAGTATTGTGGAGTGTTTTCTGCTTTCAAAAAGTGAGTCTAGTGAGATTTAGCTAAGAATCTATCCTGTTCCTACTAAATCATGGCCAAAGATTGTTGCTACCCATGGAATTTGCTTTGAATAAGATTCAGTTGCTGAAAGCATGCTCTTTCCATGATAGATAGTACTAGATAAGAAATTCTTTCTAGAAAATTTATCAAGACAGCTGTTACAGTTCTAAAGATGTAGATTAATCCATTGCTATTCTAGGGGTAGATTGATACTTTGTTGTTCTGTCAGACACATAAAGTGGTGACAGTTGCCCAAAAGAGTTTTTGCACATAAAAGTACGAAAAATTTATTATGTATGCCCTTTCTATGATAGTACTACGTATCAATGCTTCGTACAAGTGATCTTTCTAGGAGATTTATTTCAGGATAACAATCTTCATGTTCGTTTAACGACTCTAAGCTTTACGCCGTGCTTGAAGTTGAGAACTATGCCAAATTCAAGTTCAAGAGGTTTTTCCATGTTGGGGGAATGTCGAAATAAATATTTCCGGTATAAATGTATCAGTGAGAGCTTGATTTCTTGTATGGAAAATTTCTGGCCAATGCAAGCTCTAGGTCCTATTCCAAAGGGTATGAGAGCATACGGATGCCTTCGCTTCTCTTCTTCACAATTTGGGTCAAACCTCTCCGGCTTGAACTTGCCTGGTTCTGGGAAATTCTTAGGATCTTTTGCTAGAACTCCCGGCGCTAACCAGATCCATGTGCCCTGCTCATTAAAAAGGAAAAAAATAAATACATTTAAAATGGTAGGTGTATGAGTTCTAGGTATATAAACAGTCATACAGCATCAGATCAATGCTCTATAACAATACCTTTGGGAGAACATAACCTCCTATCTCTACTTCTTTCGATGTTTCTCTTGCAATTAACGGAGAGACAATGTAAAACCTCATTGCCTCTTTAACTACCTGCAATTATACCAATCTATCAGAAAGTGAAACTCCACAGTTCCATAACACATACCAAGAAACATGAAGATCAAAGTTTGCAATGACTGCAAAATCATTGTAGGTCAGATAATTTGGAGAAAGTAATAATGTGGCATCAGGCGACCGATAGAACTCGCAGTGAACCTCAAGGGACTTGCCTGGTCAAGATAGGGGAATTTGTTTTGAAGATCATGAGCTGTTGGCATCTGGTCATGTGGAGCAAACCCGTCAATTTCAGCAAGCAATTTCTTCTCAACTTCAGGATGTTGAGCAATTAAATAAACAACTGAAGATAATGTGAATGATGTTGTAGCAGATCCAGCAAGAAGATGCTCATAAGTGACTGCACTAATATAGTCTGGAGTAAAAGCGTTCTTTGCTAGAGTCTCTGATTCCGTTGCACCTAATATGAGTGACAAGAAGTCCTTTGAACCCCTATTTTTCTCTTCCATTTTCTTTCTGACAATCTCATCAAGCCGGCTGCTTATATTCCTGTTAGTCCTATCAACTTTCCAGTCCATAGTGCCCGGAATTCGCTTAAGGATCTGTCTAAAAGGCTCCTGCAGTATTGGGACAAGTAAACCAAGTATAATTGAAAAGGAACCAGATAAGTCCATCTTAAGTTGTGTTGTTGAGTATATATGTTGATTAATGAACTCTGAGACATCATTCCTGTCTTTGCCTTGGTTATGGAAACTGTTGATGGATTCACTGGCTGATTGTGGTTTAGAGAGGCCAAAGTCAACACCAAATGCAGCTTGTCCTATTACATCTGTGGCAATTTTGAGTGAGAGGTTGGAGAAAGTGATGTCTTCTTCTTTAAAAGATTGGAAATCCTCAGTTGCAGATTCAATGAATGATTGCATGGTGGGCACTAGGCTGGCTAAGTGCGATGGCTGGTAGACTGACAGTATTGTGTTTCTCATGGTTGACCATCTTGCATCCCTGCAAGTTCAAATTTCACCAGAAACTATGGTCATTTGTTCATAATCTGCTGTTATCTGTATACCTAATTCGGATTGAGCCTTGATGAAAAGAAATGAATGAATAGTTTTGTAGAGAACATAAGCATGCTTAATCTCTGTGATCATATCACATTGTTACCTGGTGAAGAAGAGACCTTTCTGATGAAGAGGAGAAGCTGAAATGGGAGAAGGAATACTTCTATTTGGAATGTCTTTGAACTTCTTTATTCCAACTTCTTTACAAAGCTCTGGATCAGCTACTATGATCAGTGGTTGTCTCCCCATATGAAACCTGCTCCGCAGAGATCACAACAAGCATAAAATTTATTCTCCTATTACAAATTTAGCGTTAGTCTAATCTAGTTTCAGTGTTACCCCATTTTAACCAAAGGGCCCTTCCCAAACAATAGCCCATATCTAGAGATAACATTTGACATGTACAAAATCAGATGCAAACCCACAAGTTGCTAATTGTATGAAACAAGAGTGCAAAACAGAAGTAACAAAATGCTAAATTTTTCTGTTTTCTTGATCAAGTGTCATGATATCATCTTCCACTGATATTCTGGAGGGACACCAATCTCTGCATTTCCATTAACATTTATTTCTCCTCGAATTGCTTCACTTTTCATTACTCTAAAGAAGTTGGACTATAAAAAATATCTAAACTGCCACAAGTTGTCTTTCCAGAGGCCGTAATTACTACTCTTTTTGATGGAAAAGAAAAGCCAAATTAGCTCTATATATCAATCTTCTAAAGAAGTTCCAAGTCCTGCCCTAAAGCAAATAGTATCATCACAGAGAAAGGAGCAAAAGATAAAACCTTCAATAACTTTCACCAGCTCTAGCATGGCAGGAAATTGAAGATTAAAAGCAGTAAACTGACCTGAAAATAGGGCCATAACGTTTTGCAAGAACTGTAAATACATCAGGGCCATGCTTTGCCATCAAAGGAAGGTGACCCAACAAGGGGAACACTGGGGGGCCTGGCACCTTCCTAACACCCCAGTAGGGCCCATACAAGTAACCCAATACTCCTAATAGCATGGCCAACACTGTGCAAATAATAGCTGTGACCATAGGTACATCAGTAAGCAAAACCTGTAGATCCATACTGATCATTATTTGGAGAGTGTGAGCTAATGGATGCTCTTGTGTCAGAGATTACAAGAAGAGGGTAGAGCCAAGTTTATAGAAGTACCAAAAGGTGGGGAATGAGGGAAGAATTGGTCATTTCTCCAAGCATCTTTTTGGGCACTATGTCTTTGTCGGTTTTCTGAATCATTATAGTGGTGACTATTCGATGCCCATGCTCTTGTCCATTATGTCTCAACGTATATATTTTTTTGTTCGTTTGTCTTTTTTCATATGCCATATGGTTTTTTAAAGCCAAGACAGTTACTAATTTAATATAATATTGGGAAGCAAATAGATAAGACATTTCGTCCATAGGAATTAGGTGCACATGAGAAGGACATGATGGATAAGCATATGGTGCCTTTATCTTAAAAATATTCACAATAATTGTTGTATTTTTATTATACAATACATGTTAAGTTGTGGAGAATGATATGAATGCTATATAGTTTTAATACGATGGTCTCGTTAACCGATTAGCGAGTGAAGATCAAAGGGGTAGTGCTCCTTGCGGAGGCTCGAAATGGAGTCTCCGAAAGGTTTACAAAATATTAGACCGGATGTATAGGTCCGTTAGTTTTTTTTTTTTTTTCCCTTATAACTCTAGTTGTCCACATTATAAATAGAGATAACATCATTTGTGTTTGTAGTCATTATTTGACAAAACCTAATAAGATATCTCGGTATAGTCGTGGAGCAAGCACCATCTGTCGAACCACATAGAATCTTTGTGTTGTGTGATTGTTTTTGTCTTTCTATTTTATTTTTTTGCTTGATTTATTTCCTAACAATACGCCTCTCTCTGTTGTTTTTTTTTTTTGAAAGAATTGAAAGGTAATAAGCATGATATTCCAAAATTCCCACAAACCATATTACATAATTTGAAGTGTAGCGGTTCAAGCTATCAAAAAAAAAAAAAAAGAAAAAAAGAAAAAAAAAGATTCTTGTTGGTATACCATGCATACCAAAATAAAACATAGATAATAATATTCCAAAAGATAGGAAGAGTACTATGCTTATATTCGAAGTCCGAGGGGAGACAAAAGGGATAACAATAAAAATGATAAAGATATAAAAGTATGACTCAATTTTTAAGTAAAATCATTATTTTATTGTCATTTAAGAGACTAACTTTCTTTCTCGAGGGATGGATCAAACTCCAACCTCATATAAAGCCTTACCCTTTTGTATAGGTCTAAATCAAGGTAAGATCTACAATCCATCATTCAAGTCTAGCTTATCTTTAGGCAATAACACTTAGCATCGTCCGTGAGGATTCAAAAACAAAAGCACGCAAAGAAACACATGAAATAGTAAAGCGACAATGATAGGGGAGCCCCGTTGTAATGCCTGCGACCCAACGAAGAGGCCATGAGTGCCATAAAAGCATCAAACATTCGTAGTACGTTAGACATAGTGTGACACGCTCAACTAGTAGAGGTTAGGCGCATTGCGAAAATGTCTTACGCTCGTCGAATGCACGATAACACCCTATGACATGAGACCTTGTATGGGACATGCGATGCGGAATGGAAATTCTTTTCATTTAAAACTCAAAGGCATAGAATTAAATCGTGACGACCTTGGTTCAACTTATTAAAAGCCAACGTAAATTTTCATGTCATGATGTAAAAATATTCCATCAACATAAAAAGCATATCATGATGTAAAACATTCAACCTAAATTAAGTCAACGTGAGTTTGCAAACCAAAGTTTCATTTCATAAAACATCAACTTATTCATATATTATCATGTCCGAGATGGCTATTTACACATCCTTTTTACAAACCAAAATTTGGCAATACATATTATGTGGATAATATCTAATTATAAGCTTAAACCTACATCTATAGTACATCTTTTGACAAATTCAAAACTCATCCAAGTAGCACCTTCAACGTTGCGAGCATGCTTTAGGCCTTACTAGGGTCACCTATACGATAAGACACAAATCGTGAGCTAAAGCTCAATAAGTGCAATCATGTATGAGTTTGTTAAACATGTATTTATGATAAAAATTATTTTTTATCTTTTGAAAATGTCTTACCAAATGTCCGATTTAATCCTCTTTTAAAACCCTAACAAAAACTTCATAAACTAGACATAACCGAGAACCAATTCTAAAGTATACACCATATCATTTTCATGGGTGGCCTCACTATGAACATGCATTTGACCTCTTTGTTTGCTTAAAACACAAGTTCATGAAATCTAATGTCAATGCCATGTCATGAATTCATGAAGTTCAATGTCAATTCCTTAAGAATTCATCCCACAATGCTATGAAAATTCACCATGTCAAAGAATACATAAATTCGTCAAGTAGATACATAGGCAACCGCACATGTCTCCTTATGCTTATGAAAATAAGTAATTTAAAACAAAGCATTAAGCAATTTTCCATTAATTCGGTAAGAATTCACATAACTACGCCAAGCAAACACTTATGCTTATGAAAATTTAGGATAAGTCATTCAAAATAAGACATCAAGCCATTGTCCATCAATTCGATAAGAATTCAAACAACCCAACCAAAAAACACTAATGTTTATAGAAATTTAGGAGAAGTCATTCAAAATAAGGCATTAAGCAATTGCCCATCAATTTGATGAGAATCCACACAACCAAGCCAAACAAACACACCATCATATTGTCATAAGGTTTTTGTTGCAACCAACAACGCATATTTTTGCTCTCTTTCACCAATTAACACACAAACACACAATATTTCACAAAGGAATGTTCACAATCCCTTATTAATGAAATTCATATGCATTAGGTGTTGTGATATAAATGAGAGTTATACTTACTTGGACAAGTTAGAGATGAAAGAAACACTTAAGATCGCTTAATAACTTCAACTTGCCTTTTGTCCTAACTCTTGGCTAAATGCCCAAAATTTCCTCCCTCTCGATCGGCTCCCTTTCAAGGTCTCTCTATAAGTTTTTTCCTTACAAGAAACAAATCGCCAAAAAGTAAGCCAAAGCAACCCTTCATCTATTTATAATGCCATGCCATGCATAGAAAAATGGTTAAAAATCTTAGGTGATGACACCTCTCTAGCCAACTCACCCAAGCAAGGCTAGATAGAGATACTTATCTTTCCACTAACTCAAGGAAAAATGAGCCCTGTCTCATTTGTTTAGTAAATTCAATCAAGCCCATTGATTAAACATAAACCACTTCGATTTTTTAGAAGGTCACATACAAGTAACATATATAATATAAAGGAAAAGCAAGGCATAATATTCGACAATGAAGCATACATTAGGACATGAAAATCATAAAAAAAAAATTACTTGTCACGATATGACACTTTTGTCAATGTAAACTAGCATATCAAGACATTTTATTTTCGACGACATAAACACACAACAAATATAAGCATATAACATCAAGTAAATGACACACACGTACACACACACACACACACACACACACACACACACACACACACGCCATGCTTAAGGGTCTTGGCTATTAAATCTTCCTCTTCTCACAAAAATTTCATCCTCGAAATTGACTTACTCAAACAACTTAGAATAGTTAACCCTCATTTCGACCTCTCTTTCCCACGTAACTTCTTCTATATTGTGATTCTTCCATAAAACCTTAACCGATAAAATGTGCTTATTTCTTAGTTGATTGATCTCTTAGCCCAAAATCTAGATAGGTTCTTCTTTTTAACTCGGATCGATTTCAATTCCAACGGCTTGATTCTTAAGACGTGGCTCGGATTATCGATTCTTTCCAAAACGTCAAATGGCCACGTGCACCTGCGGGCTTAGCTTTCCTCTCTTCCCAAAACATATCACTCATTTCATCACGATGATCTTTAGAAACATATTATCCCCAAGCTAAAATTCTAAGTCTCTTCTCCTCTTCCGTCGATCTTAAGCCATTTTCATCTATATTATAACTTTGTTTTATGACTTCGGTAATTTGTTACAACACCTTGAGTCCAAGCATTTTTCTCTCACTAATATCATATGAATGTATCAACGATTGATATTTTCTTTCACATAATGCTTCGTTTGGTGGCATACTAATGCTAGCTTGATAATTATTATTATATGAGAATTTAATTAATGATAAGTACCTTTTCCACCTCATGAACCAATCAAGCACACAAGCCTACAACATGTCTTTGGCCATCCGATTCACCCTTTTGGTTTGCCCATTTGTTTATAGGTGGAATGCCATGCTCAAATTTAGATTCATCCTCATGACTCAATGCAAGTTTTTTTAACAATTCAACACAAACCTTAAGTCTCGGTCTAACACGATCAACATCGAATATCATGCAACCTCAAAACTTCCCTTAGATATAATTTGGCATATTGCTATATTGTGTACTTTGACTTCACCGTAAGGAAGTAAGTCGATTTCTTCAATCAATCTAGATCACCCAAATGCCATCCATCTCCTTTTCTAACTTCGACAATCCAAATATGAAGTCCATTATAATGTGTTTCTATTTTCATTTAGGTATGTCCAGTGGATTTAATAAACCGGAGGATCTTTGGTGCTCAACCTTAATTTATTAGCACATCAAACACTTAGTCACGAATTCGATAGAGTCCCTTTTTATGCCTTTCTACCAATAGATCCTTTTTAAGTCGTGATACATCTTCATACTACTAGGATGATTGATATACGATGTCACATAAGCTTCTCATAAAATGTTTTAATGTAATTCAGTTTTGGTTAGGACATACAATCTGTCATGGTAAGGTAGAACTTTGTCATCATTTTTGGCAAAATTTGATTTCTACCCTGCTATCACTTTCTATCAAATTTTAATCAAGTTTAAATCTCGTAATCTGTTTCTCTTCGATTTTCTATCTCAAACCCGACCTTAAAACTTTCAAACACAACACATTGTTACCACCCCTCACAATAGAATGTCTAGCTATAATTTTTCAAAATCTTTGATGATTTTAGCTTATAACGCAACCCATGTCTTTCAACTCAACACATTCAT